TGGGGATATAACTGATTGTATTTTTTCCTTTACATTTAAAAAAAATTTTTTACAGCTTCTCATGGCCATGAACTCCTTTACATTTTAAATATTTTGTAATGTTGTATATCAAACATTTCTACTAAGAATTTTTTAAAATCTCAAATACTTCTAGTTCCCTCTTAGTAAGATCCAATTTTGGATTGATATTCCTAATACCTAAGTTACTATCAGAGATGTTTTTAAAAGAAATTTGGCCAAAGAGGAAAAGAAAATTAAGAACAAAGTGGAAAGCCTAATTCTGGGAAATGTTACAAAAGGGGAAGTTGAAAAGAATTACATGGAAACTAAGAATAAATGGTGTTCAACAGAACATCTTGTTTTAAGGATACTTAAATCTTTTAAATATTTTATCATTTTGTGATTTTTAAAAAACATACAGAAAATATAGAAAATAATGAAACATGTTCATCTCCCAGTTTTATTCAGTGTTAATATTTTGCTTTTTAAAAAAAAAAAAAAAAAAAAACTAGAATATTAAGAGTATAACTATGTCTCTGCCATTTCCCCCCCTCTTCTCAGGGATAACCCTTATCTAGAAGTTGATGAACATTAAGAATATAACTATGTCCCACTCAGCCATTTCCCACCCCCTTTTCAGGGATAATCCTTATCTAGAAGTTGATGCCTGTCGTTCCTGTAGTTATTTTTCCTTTCACATGTGTATTTGTGTGTGTATATAAATTTTTACATAAGCAGTATCATTGTATAAATTATTTTGCTATGTAACAACATTAGATTCTTGATAGATGAAGATTCATTTCAATTGTATAGTTTCCATTGTTTATTCATACATACACAATTTATCATTCCACCAAAAAACAGGTTGTTTTCCACTTTTTTGCTATTTAAAAACCTTGCAGGCTGGGTGCAGTGGCTCACGCCTATATCTCAACACTTTGGGAGGTTGAGGGAGGCAGATCACCTGAGGTCAAGAGTCTGAGATCAGCCTGGCCAACATGGTGAAACCCTGTCTCTACTAAGAAATACAAAAATTAACCAGGCATGGTGGCACATGCCTATAGCACATCCCAGATACTTGGGAGGCTGAGGCAGGAGAGTCACTTGAAGGCAGGAGGGGGAGGTTGCAGTGAGCTGAGATTGTGCCACTGCACTCCAGCCTGGGTGACAGAGTGAGACTCACTCTCAAAAAAATTAACTCATTAATTAATTTAATTAAAACCTTGCTGCAGTAAGCATCTTTGAACATGCCTTCTAGGGTTCATGGTCTTAGAGTTTTTTCTTTAAACAAAGTTTAGATAGAAAACTGAAAATGGGCTGGGCGCAGTGGCTCACACCTGTAATCCAGCACTTTGGGAGGCCGAGGCAGACGGGTCACTTGAGGTCAGGAGTTTGAGACCAGCCTGGCCAACATGGTGAAACCCTGTCTCTACTAAAAATGCAAAAAAAAATTAGCCAGGTGTGGCAGTGCACACCTGTAATCCCAGCTTCTCAGGAGGCTGAGGCCGGAGAATTGCTTGAACTTGAGAGGCAGAGGTTGAGTGAGCCGAGATCGCGCCATGGCACTCCAGCCTGGGCGATAGCAAGATTTTGTCTCAAAAAAAAAAAGTAAAAAGAAATTCAGAAAACTGAAAATGAAATCACTGGGTTTGCAGGGTCTGCAATTCTTCAGCTTTACTAGGCAATACTGAATTACACTATATTTTCATCAGTAACTCATGTTTGTATTTTACTACATCCATGTCAACAAGATGTTAGACTTTGAAACTTCAGACAGTCTTTATGAAATGGTATCATGGTTTAATTTGCATTTCATTGATTACTAGAGAGGTTGAAGTAACTTCACATTTTGATGTTCATTTGGGTTTTCCTCTTTTTACAGCCTTTTGTTTCCCTTTTTTTTAGTAATAAAAACATAGGAGATCTTTATATGTTCTAGCTACTAATTCTTTATCAATTGCCTGTGTTGCAGATATCTCCACATATAAACAATGCCACATCGATGATAAACTAAGTTCCCATGTATACTTTGGGCCTAGGATTTTCAAAACCATTTCTGGATCCTTTTTAACAGTCCTTGCTCTAGCTTCTATCTTTCCTCTCATATTTTACTATAAGCAGCAAGAAGCCAGGTAGCAACTTCGACATTTTGCTTGGAGACCTAGCTAGAGTACCTAGTTCCTTAGGTACATTTTTCTGTGTTCTTCATTACTCTAGGTGATCATGTTTAACATTCTGGCACTACATAACAAAGGAACCTTTTACTTCCAGTTTCCAATAACATTCTCACTTCTGAAGTGGCAATGGCTACTGCTGGCAGTCTCCTTCAAGACCATCAGACTTTTTTTATCAGGATGGTTTGTTTCTCGAGGGACCATCAGACTTCTACTAATAGTCTGTTAAGAACTTTAGGCTCTCACTAACATTCTGCTCAAAATTATTACAGTTTCCCCCTACTACCAGTTCCAAAGCAATACATTTTTAGGCATGTGTTATGGTAGTACTACACTTATGTTCCCAAACAAATCTATATTAATGATCTATTTGCCACATACCAAATTACCTCAAAACTTAGTGGCATAAAGCAATAAACATTATTTCACAGTTTCTTTTTTTTGTTTGTTTGGGTTTTTTTGTTTTTTTGAGACAGAGTTTCACTCTGTCACCCAGGCTGGAGTACAGTGGTGTGATCTTGGCTCACTGCAACCTCCCATCTCCTGGGTTCAAGCAATTCTCCTGCCTCAGCCTCTTGAGTAGCTGGGATTACAGGCGCCCGCCACCACACCCAGCTAATTTTTATATTTTTAGTAGAGACAGAGTTTCACCACGTTGGCCAGGCTGGTCTCGAACTCCTGACCTCCAGTGATCTGCCCGCCTCAGCCTCCCAAAGTGCTGGGCTTACAGATGTGAGCCACCATGCCCAGCCGACTTCACAGTTTCTATGGGTTAGGAATTTGGGGGTGGCTTAGCTGGGGCAGGAAGATCCACTCCCACCATGGCTCACTCAGATGACTTGACAACAAGCCTCAGTTCCTCTCTGGCTCTTGGTAGAAGATCTCAGTTCCTCAACAAAGAGACTTTCTTTTTTCTTTTTTTCAGCTTTATTTATTCCTTTTTTGGAGACAGGATCTCACTTTGTCACTCAGGCTGGAGTACAGTGGCATGATCATAGGTCACTCTCCTACCTCAGCCTCCCAAGTAGCTGGGACTACAGATATGTGCCACCATGCCCGGCTAATTTATTTATTTATTTATTTTTGTAGAGATGGGGTCCCACTGTTGTCCAGGCTGATCTCCAACTCCTGGGCTCAAGCAGTCCTCCTACCTCAGACTCTCCAAGTGCTGAGATTTGTCCAACTACAGAGGGACATTTTCATAGGGCTTCCTCAGGACATGACAGTGGGCTTCCTATAGTGAGCAATTCAGGAGAGCAAGGAGAAACCCACAGTGTCTTTTGTGACCTAGTCTTGGAAGTCAGCCACCACCAATTCTGATTCTATTCATTAGAACCAAGTGACCTCGGATGATTCGCTAGCCAAAGTGCTGGGATGACAGGCATTAACCACCATGCCTGGCAAGAAATTTTGTAATTTCTTTAAGTGTCATCCTTAAAAACAAGTGATTGATTATAAAAGTTGTCTTTCTTTGTCCTAAAATTGGTTTTTAAAAATTGTGTTTAATTTCTACTATTCATTTAGTTGTTTTTTTCTTTTTTTGAGACAAAGTTTTGCTCTTGTTGCTCAGGCTAGAGTGCAATGGCACAATCTCGGCTCACTGCAACCTCTGCCTCCCAGGTTCAAGCAATTCTGTCTCAGCCTCCCAAGTAGCAGGTGCCCACCACCACACCGGACTAATTTTGTATTTTTAGTAGAGACAGGGTTTCACCATGTTGGCCAGGCTGGTCTCAAACTTCTGACCTCAGGTGATCCACCTGCCTCAGCCCCCTCAAAGTGCTGGGATTGCAAGCGTAAACCACCATGCCCGGCCCTTTCATTTCGTTTCTACTATTCATGTACACATGTACCGTGTTTTACCCACAGACAACTGTGCTAACCATTAAGATTGTCCCAGCCTTACTAAGATTTTCCTAAGACAGGTTTGTCTCCCAGACACTGGGAACTCAAAGGTGAGGAAACTTAGGTGTGAAGGTGGATTGTGGATTCAGACCTTCTGACTTGGAGGCCAGTGCAGAGACACACCAACAGAGTGACCTCGGGCACATGGCTTCACCTCTCCAAGCCTCACGCTCCTCATCAGTAAAGCAAGGGTTAGGGGAACCTACCTGTTGGCTTGTTTTGATAATTAAATGAGATAATGTCCGCAAAACATATTTGGCAGGTAAATGTTAACTAAATTTTGAGCTTTTAAAAAAATGTTTTACCAGCCGGGCGAGGTGGCTCACGCCTGTAATCCTAGTACTTTGGGAGGCCGAGGAGGGTGGATCACCTTAGGTCAGGAATTCGAGACTAGCCTCGCCAACATGGTGAAACAGTGTCCCTACTAAAAATACAAAAATTAGCCGGGTATGGTGGTGGACGCCTGTAATCCTAGCTACTTGAGATGCTGAGCCAGGAGAATCTCTTGAACCCAGGAGGCGGAGTTTGTAGTGAGCCGAGATCACGCCACTGCACTCCAGCCTGGGCAATAGAGTGAGACTACGTCTCAAACAAAGTTTAACTGAAAAGGCTTTCCTGACACCTTTCCGCTGCTGAAAATCGTAAAGCCTCTCCCGACCGCATCCTACACTCTTCCGGCCCAAGCAAGTGCGCTGGAACCGGGAGTTGGTGAAAAGCCGGCTGCTGGCAGCCTCAGCCCTTAGCGTCCCCGCGGTCGGGGACGTCCAGGCCTGACGGAGAGGCTGGGCTATCACGCCTGTAATCCCAGCACTTTGGCTATCACGCCTGTAATCCCAGCACGCGGCGTCGGGGCGGGACAGTGGATGCGCTGCGGGGACGGGAGGTGTCGCCTCTCCGGCTCGCCGGTGACAGGGGCGGGCGGGTCGTGCGCGGGCCCCACCTCCAGCGGCCCCGCCCCAGGTCCTCCTCCTCCACGGCTTACCCGGGCTCCGACAGCGGCTGCAGCTCTCCGAGTTGCGGCCGCAGGAGCCGGAGCCATGCGGACAGTAGACCCGGAGGCACGCCCGGGGCTTCTGCCCCTGCTGCTGCTGCTGCTGCTGGCCGAGGCCGGACTGTCCGCCGCCTCACCCCCAGCAGCACCGCGCTTCAACGTGAGCCTGGATGCGGCCCCCGAGCTGCGCTGGCTGCCAGTGCTGCGGCACTACGACTTGGACTTGGTGCGCGCAGCGATGGCGCAAGTCATCGGGTGAGCTGGGGCCCTGGACAGGGTCTGCGGGTACGCTGGGGGTGCGGTTCGGAGTCAAACGCGCGCTGCTCAGAGTGCTTTAAACCGGGACGCTTTACTCCCCGCCACCCTTGGAGAACTGGCTTTGGCTGCCGCCTGAGCAGTGCCGGGGTTGGGGAGAATCCAGCGCAGCAGGTTTGGCTTTCAAGTTCGGTGTCACCCGTGGCACGCCAGTCCTTGAGCCATTCTGGGTCAGCGTGGGACGCGAGTTGTCGCCTGGGCTGTACTGCTACCGAAGAGGGGCAACCGCGCCTTCCTTGCGGGCCTCACAGGCCTTCCAAGCTTGGCCCTTTGGGACCAGCCTCACTCGCCCTCCCCATCTCCGAGTTTTCTTCCCCGCCGCCTCCCCTCCCTGCCCGCCGCCCAGCTTCCACCCTCTGCCCCTCCTCGCCCCCCCCCCCCACCCCCGGGAGGCTGCAGATTGAGTGACGCGGCGCCTGGGCGGTCCACTGTCTGGGTAGCCGTGGCCCTGACAGTTCACGCCCTAAGGATGTGTAGCCCCGCTCTCAGTGCACAAGAAGTCACGCCGCCGACCTCTGAGCAGGTCAGACGCCCTCGTGCTCTTCTCTTCTAGGGATAGAGTCCCCAAGTGGGTGCACGTGTTGATCGGAAAAGTGGTCCTGGAGCTGGAGCGCTTCCTGCCCCAGCCCTTCACCGGCGAGATCCGCGGCATGTGTGACTTCCTGAACCTCAGCCTGGCGGACTGCCTCCTGGTCAACCTGGCCTACGAGTCCTCCGCGTGAGTGCCCCAAGCCGGTGCGGAGTAACGCGGGACTTGCTGGGGCCTCCTGACACAGGCTAGCGGCAGGAAACATGTTTTCCGTGTGATAAAAACAGGGTAGTGCCTGCTTGCCCAGAAACTTACAGTGCTTCCTCGTTGCCTCTCTGGGTAAATCTGAGCTGCAGATCGTAGGCTTCGAGAGGGAAAGCAACTTCGACTCAGCATTGAACTTTCCCTCTACCGGTAGCCCGGGGTTTTCTCTCCCCCAATCCAGGTAGCATCCTACTTTTAAAATTCTGCTCAAAGGCCGGGCGAGGTGGCTCACGCCTGTAATCCCAGCACTTTGGGAGGCCAAGGTGGGCAGATCACGAGGTTAGGAGTTCAAGACCAGCCTGGCCAACATAGTGAAACCCCGTCTACGAAAAACACAAAAAATTAGCCGGGCGTGGTGGCGGGCGCCTGTAATCCTAGCTACTTACGAGGTTGAGGCAGGAAAATCACTTGAATCCGGGAGGCAGAGGTTGCAGGAAGCCGCGATCGCACCACTGCACACCAGCCCTGGCAACAGTGGGAGACTCTGTTTCAAAAAAAAAAAAAAAAAATTCTGCTCAAAACGTACTTTTCCAGGAAGTTTTTGAAACTAAGCCTCCTCTCATCTGGACCCTTTAGTTAACTCAGTGGCCTTCCATCTCTATACTGGCAGTGGCTCATCTCTGCTTGTATTTGTCGCCCTGCATTTCTCTTTTCATGTGTGTCATGGCTGAAGTGTCTGTGTCCACCAGGGCTGGGGCGACAGGGAACACTGCTCTAATAGGGCCAGCCAGTGTTTGGACCAGGAAGTGGGCATGATAAAATGTGCACCCAGGCTGGGCGCGGTGGCTCATGCCTGTAATCCCAGCACTTTGGGAGGCTGAGGCAGGTGAATCACCTGAGGTCAGGAGTTCAAGACCAGCCTGGCCAACATGGTGAAACCCTGTCTCTACTATTAATACAAAAAACTTACCCAAGCGTGGTGACGGGCACCTGGGAATCCCAGCTACTCGGGAGGCTCAGGCAGGAGAATCACTTGAACCCAGGAGGCAGAGGTTGCAGTGAGCTGAGATAGCGCCATTGCACTCCAGCCTGGGTGACAAAGCAGGATTCTGTATCAAAAAGAAAAAGAAAAAAGTGCACCCAGAAGTGAAAGCAACATGGAGTGTGTGGTTGATCCCAGGCAAAGTGCAGGGGACCACTAAAGATTTATGGGCTCAGCAACAGGTTCTGGAATAAAGGGAGGTTTTGACTTGGTTTCTCCCTTTAATACTTATTATTTTGCCACCAGACTAGCTTCATCTCGTAACCTCTTGTACATACTTAGAGCTTCTTGCTGCCTAAAGATGATGGGGGTAGAAAAGATCTTGGAATAATGAAACTTTACTGGCCCAGGCATTTTCCCAGAACACCTAGGCAGAGTAAGCTAAAAAGCACTGGGACTGCCTTCCTCTTCAGGAAATGCTTTCAGGCACAGAAAAGACACAGGCCTGCTAAATAACATGCCTTTCAGTTGAACTAAGTTATTATAATTTTACCACCTTCCTCTCCTACCTCCAACTTTTTCCTATTTTTAACTTACGGCTTTCTCAATGAAAAATCACGAATCATTTTTACCCTCATCTGTTGGAGTTACTATATTCAAACAGATTAAAGCAAAAGTTCCAGTAAAAACATTCTAACTTTTGGATTTGATACTAAGGTATTTATAGAATTGCCTAATAGAAAGCACCATTCAATTCCACTAGCATTAACAAAGGAAATGCTTTCTTCTCATGTTGGAAGTAAGCCTTCTTGAATTAGAATACTACTAGCTACCCTTTATTGAGCCTACTGGGTGCCAGGTACTTCATGAACACAGCCCCATGGGGAAGATGGTATCATCTGTTTTGTGATGTGGAAACCAAGCCTCAGAGGGGCCACCTTGCTGGAAGTCAGGTGGCTGGTGAGTGCTAGAAGCATGGGGATCTCCAGTTCGCTACAGTGCCTCTCAAAGCAGAGTCTGTTTCCTCATTTGTCTCCCGTGCTTGTGCACTGCTACATCACACCACAACATTTGGGCCTGATATGAAAGTATTGTTATCTTGCCAATTTTGAAAAATCGCCTTTGAGAGAGATTCTACAAACTCTGCTTTAGTACTCCCCATGTCTTACCAGTTCTCTCCCTGACCTGAACTCTTTGAAGTTAAACTCAGAAACGTTGGAGGGAGGCTGGGCACAGTGGCTCATGCCTGCATTCCCAGCATTTTGGGAGGATGAGGTGGATGGATCTCTTGAGCCCAGGAGTTCGATACCAGGATCTGTTGAGCCCAGGAGTTTGATACCAGCCTGGGCAACATGGTAAAACCTTGTCTCTACAAAAAATACCACAAAATTAGCCAGATGTGGTGGCTTGTACCTGTGGTCCCAGTACGCAGGAAGCTGAAATGGGAGGATCACTTGAGCCTGGGAAGTCAAGGCTGCAGTGAGCTGAGATTGTATCACTGCATTCCAGCCTGGGTGACAGAGACTCAAAAAAATAATAATAATAAAATAAATAAATAAATAACAGAAACCTTGGAGGGAATTAAAACTGACCAAGGTTCCATCTTTATTTTATTTTATTTTGTTTATTTTTGAGATGGAGTCTTACTCTGTTGCTCAGGCTGGAGTGCAGTGGCGTGATCTTGGCTCACCACAACCTCTGCCTCCCGGGTTCAAGTGATTCTGCTCCCTCAGCCTCCCAAGTAGCTGGGACTACAGGCATGCGCCACCATGCGCGGCTAATTTTTATATTTTTAGTAGAGACGGGGTTTCACTATGTTGGCCAGGCTGGTCTCAAACTCGTGACCACATAATCCACCCACCTTGGCCTCCCAAAGTGCTGGGATTACAGGCCTGAGTCACCCTTCTGGTGCCTGGCCCAAGTTTCCGCCTTTAAACAAACAAACAAAAAGTAACACTTTTTCCCCCAATTATAAAAGTAACATATAATCATTGTAGAAAATCAGTAAATGTAGAAAAGTAAAAAAACAAAGCTAACCACCATCCTGTTATTAAAAAATGACCAGAAAAACCCTCCAGGATCTTTTCTCTCAGTTTTGTTCATGTGGATATATATATTTTTTCCCTGGTATTGGACACACTGTATATAAATATTTTATAAATATTTATTATAAATACATAATATTTTTTCATGTACCGTTAAGTATTCTCAGAGAATATGGATACTTAACAAGCCTCCTCCTCTTTTTCTCTCTATGAACTTCTGTTCATAGAGATTCCCCCTTTTTAAAAATTATGATCTCTGTGCAAGGAGCTGGGAGACAGGAAAAGTGCCAAGTCCCTTAAGAGCCAGCCATTTTCCCAAGGGGACAAAATGAAACATTTGTGAAACAATGGTTTAGTGTTACTTTATTTGCTCTGAGGAATTAATATGTGGAGAGGTGAGCTTGAGCTGGCTTTGAATCATGTGTTAAATAGAATACATGCTGCCAAGCAGAGGAAAAAGCAGAGTTCACAGGTCTCCTGAGCCCAGGATGGGTTAGTTTCACTGCAGATTTAGACTGAGGATGAAATTCTCACTCACTATGCTTATGATGCCCTGCATGTGTGCTAAGGGCAAACACCCGAGAAACACTGAATGAGCACAGATAAGTTGTATCCAGTTGTGTTTTTCATCTTGAATTGTTAATCTATATTCTTACAAGCATTATAGCACATATGTCAGTCATAAGGAAGAAAAACTGTTTTACTTTGAGGATTTGTTTTACAAATGAAAAACTCCTTTTCCTTTTTTTTCTTATTTGTCTTATTCATTCATGTTGGACTTTTCCCTTTTCTCAGATTCTGCACCAGTATTGTGGCTCAAGACTCCAGAGGCCACATTTACCATGGTCGGAATCTGGATTATCCTTTTGGGAATGTCTTACGCAAGTTGACCGTGGATGTGCAATTCTTAAAGAATGGGCAGGTATAGTCCATACCGTATAAGATAATAAATCAGAAAGATTTGCAAACTCAAGTTAGCAGTCATTTGAATGGCCTGCTAACTTACGTGCGTTATCAGTATAAGACACAGAAAAATCACACCCCTGGAAAAACAAAGGCAGAAGAGAGGTTTACATCAATTATGCTTATAGGAAGGACGGTCATTTATTATTTATTATTGCGTGTCTACTTAAAGAGGTCACCTAGTTTTCCATAGGGAAATCTCTTTTAGAGAGTGATCAATCATCCACTTATGCAGAGTCAACTCTTTCCTCTGCTTTCCCATGCCCAGGCTGCTTCTGGAATATGAGGGGCTGGGTAGTGCAATAACTAGGAACACTCAACTTTGGGATCTGACAGTCCCAGGTTTGAATCTTGATTCTATCAATTACTGTACTTCCTTTGTGAACCTGAGAAATTACTCATTCTCTAATTTTGCAGACTACAACTCATGGAGGTGCGTAACTACTTTACTGAGATAGTTATAAATGTTAAATGAAATAGTCTATGTAAAGTTGTAGCCAAATAATAAATGGTCCTTCATTCTGCAAGTACGATTGACCCACACCACTTTCTTGTGTATGATCTTTAAAAAATTATACTTAGATTTTTTGTTTATAGCATGGTCCCTTTAAAAACTATAATCTACTATATACAGTTGTAACTGTGTAAACATTTAGAGAGACAGAATTAATCAATGCTCATTGAGTACACAAAGCATGTTTTGCCGTAAAACAGAATACAGTGTGCAAGAGCCAGATTTTGGCTGAAAGGATAAGGACTGTATTCCCTTTGTTCTTTGCATTTAGGGGTTGATTCACAAATACTAAAAACTCATTTACTAACTACTCAGTCATCTGCTTTTACAAACACTTTTTTTCATAAAAAATTCAAACAGTACAGAAATATTTTAAGTAAAAGTTTCTCCTTTCCAGTCCCATTTCTTTATTTCACCACTATTAATAATTTGTTTTCTAGCTGAATTAGTTTGAAAATGATTTTAAGTGGTAACGATAATATAAATGCATAATAAATTCTCAAAGGAAATCTGCTAAATATTGTTTTATTACTGAATGATGGGATAATATTATTTATTATTTATTCATGTTTTTTCTCCAGTATTCTATAATGAGCTAATACTCTTATAAAGAGATAAAGGAATAAATGCAATGAAAATAAATTATTTCAGCTGTTCTGAAACTCACTCTAATAGTTGTTTCTTCTTTTGTTTTTGTTTTTCCTGGAGTTCCCATGAAATAATCTGTAGAGAAATATTCTGTAGAGGTAGCTTTACCGTCAGTACTTAGGTGACTGTTACTGAATGTAGACAGTTTACTCTTGGGTATTGCTTTTCTATGGAGGACTCATGGCCAAGAAATTGTTTTATGAAATTAAGAACAGGTTATCCACAAAATAATTCATCTCTCATTCTTGTCTAGTGTTTGTAATCTTAGAAGTATTTTCGGCCGGGCACAGTGGCTCACGCCTGTAATCGCAACACTTTGGGAGGCCAAGGTGGGCGAATCACTAGGTCAGGAGTTCAAGACCAGCCTGGCCAATGTGGTGAAACCCCGTCTCTACTAAAACTACAAAAAAAAAAAAATTAGCTGGGCATTTTGGTGGGTACCTGTAATCCCAGCTACTTAGGAGGCTGAGGCAGGGGAATCGCTTGAACCTGGGAGGCGGAGGTTGCAGTGAGCTGAGATCGCACCACTGCACTCTAGCCCAGTGACAGAGTGAGACTCATCTCAACAACAACAAGAGCAAAAGTACTGTCATACACAGGACCTCATTCGATCCCCCCAGCAGCCCTGCGAAGCAGGCATCAGTCAACATTTTTATCTTTTCTTTCTAGATGAGGGGGCCTAACTTCACAGAGACTGACTTGCCCCAAATCACAAGGCAGAGACATGGCAGAGGTAGGGCCAGAACCCAGGCATTGGGCCTACTGATAGTTTTCGTTGTCAAAGCTCAGCCTTCATTAGACTGTAAATTATTATTATTGTTATTATTATTATTATTTTTACTGTTTTTATTTTTGAGACAGAGTCTCACTCTATCGCCCAGGCTGGGGTGCAGTGGCGCAATCTTGGCTCACTGCAACCTCTGCCTCCCGGGTTCAAGCAATTCTCCTGCCTCAGCCTCCCAAATAGCTGGGACTACAGAGGGCGCTACCACACCCGGCTAATTTTTGTATTTTTAGTAGAGATGGGGTTTCACTATGTTGGCTAGTCTTGAACTCCTGAGCTCAGATAATCCGCCCGCCTTGGCCTCCCAAAATGCTGAGATTACAGGTTTGAGCCACTGCACCAGGCAATCAGACTGTAACTTAAAATAACTTAAAATTCCCTGCTAAGGGTTTGTTTATGTCAACTGACTAGGCAGAAACAATTGGGAGGTACAAACAGAAGTAAAGACAGATTTTCAGAGCTGCAAGATAAAATATCTTACAAATTATATCTCGAAATTATTTATCATTATGTATGGTAATTGAGAACTATGATGTGATTTTTGATCTCATAACTTCAATTTTCTCAGCCCTTCAAGAGTGACCCTGAGGGTCACAGTGTCATGCAAATGAGGTGGCCATATAATTACTTTTTATTTTCCACGTAATTACATTTGTAAGGGCTTGAGTAGTAAGGTAGACTTATTTCTGCTTTACCACCATCCGTGGAGATGAGGCATTCATGGAGGCCCTCAGTAAGTCTGAGGGCTGAGGTCATTTATAAAACTAAGGCCACTGCATTCTCCCTTGTAATTCAGCCACCTTAAATTATTTTTATAAGCAGATAAGGTAAAAATAAATAATTAAATGAAAAACATTACTGACCTAATTTTTCTAAGGAAAATATCAATCTAGGACTATTTCTTAAAACATAACAGTATTAGTTAACTTTTATCAAACAGTATGAGTCAGATACTGTTTTAAGTACTTTTTTTTTTTTTTTTGAGACAGAGTCTTGCTCTGTCACAAGCTGGAGTGCAATGGTGCCATCTCAGCTCACCGCAACCTCTACCTCCTGGGTTCAAACGATTCTCCTGCCTTAGCCTCCCGAGTAGCTGGGACTACAGGTGCACGCCACCACAGCCAGCTAATTTTTGTATTTTTGGTAGAGATGGGATTTCACCATGTTGGCCAGGCTGGTCTCAAATTCCTGGCCTCAAGTGATCTGCCTGCCTCGGCCTCCCAAAGTGCTGGGATTACAGGCGTGAGCCACCATGCCTGGCCAAAGTACTTCTTTGAAAAATAAAATGTGGTATCAGAAATAACTGATAATGGCTAGCTGTGGTGGCTCATACCTGTAATCCCAGCACTTTGAGAAGCCAATACAGAAGGATTGCTTGAGCCCAGGAGTTTGAGACCAGCCTGGGCCACACAGGGAGACCCTGTCTCTAGGAAAACCAAAAAATATATATATATATATGTATATATGTGTGTTTGTGTGTGTATACATATATGTCAGGTTTGGTGGCATGCGCCTGTGGTCCCAGCCACTTGGAAAACTGAGGTGGGAGGATCGCTTGAGCCCAGGAGGTCGAGGCCGCAGTGAATTGTGATTGCACCATTGCACTCCAGCCTCGGTGACATATAGAGTTTGATTTTTCTCCTGCAGGTTACATAGTGGTACCTTGCAATCACTGGAGCTCGTGACCTTAATTTAAAGTGGGGGTGATGCCTGTAATTCATGGGATAGTTGTGAGGATTAAATGAAAGAGCTATGTAAAAAGATTTTTAAATATTTAAAATTTAAACATGATTATTATTGGTGAACAGTCCCACTTGTTTCTCCTAACGTCACAGAGTTTATAAAATATGTGATATTTATCTCTTATAATCAAATCAAAACAAGTTTTATTTTATTTTATTTTGAGACAGAGTTTTGCTCTTGTTGCCCAGGCTAGAGTGCGATGGCGCTATTTCAGTTCACCACAACCTCCACCTCCCAGGTTCAAGCGATTCCCCTGCCTCAGCCACTCTAGTAGCTGGGATTGCAGGCATGCCCCACCATGCCCAGCTAATTTTGTATTTTTAGCAGGGTCAGGGTTTCTCCATGTTGGTCAGGCTGGTCTTGAACTCACGACCTCAGGCGTTCCACCCACCTCGGCCTCCAAAAGTGCTGGGATTACAGGTGTGAGCCGCTGCGCCCAGCTTCAAAACAAGTTTTAAAGTAAAACTCCACTTGCTACTTCTAGGATGGGGCTTCTTAACCTGCTTTGTGTACCCCTTTGGTGAATAATGTTTTATAAATACATAATAAATGTGTGTGATTACAAAGAAAATCAGTTGTGTTGAAAACATCCATTTCAATGTTATACTTTTTCTTAACACATTAAATAGTAAGGTTTAGCAGTGAGTCTAATAACTACCATGATTTCAAAGTAGTAAATTATGGACAGTGTTTCAAAATATCTGCAGCCAACATTGTGTATGTGAAAAACCCTATGATTTCTACTAGTGACAGAATTATAGGCACCACTATGATTGCGTGATTTGTTGCATGCGTTCGTTACAGAAGGAATTAAATTTCAGTTGGAGGTTAGTGAAAATAAAGATGCATCTTTTTTTTTTCCCATCCAAGGTCACAAATCTACTAAAATCTATCTATGGACCATGCCCCCGACCCCAGCTTAAGGTTAAGAACCTCTGTCTTAGAAGGCTATTTCAGAGTTTTATTCTATTTTGTTGGAATTATTTTTTAAAAATCCAGAAAACTGTGGGGCAAAACAGATAATTTCAGTGTATTTGACTGGAATGGTGAAATGATCCATGTATCTCTTGATTTCAGATTGCATTCACAGGAACTACTTTTATTGGCTATGTAGGATTATGGACTGGCCAGAGCCCACACAAGTTTACAGTTTCTGGTGATGAACGAGGTAATCAAAACAAACTCCTCTGTAATTTTAGCTACATTATTGTTCAGTTCTATCCAAGCACTTCCTTCACTTACCCAACAGAACATACAGAACACCCACTATGTGGCAGGGACTTCCATCCTAGTGGGGGAAAATAGACACTATGTGTGGAAGCAATGAAGATGATTTCAGGTAGCAATAAGTGCTGCAAAGAAAGCAAAATAGGAAGCTGTGATAGAGAGTGAAGGAGGAGGTGGAGTGGTTCGTACAGGTCAGAGGGTCAGAGAAGGCCTGATCCATGTGATCCAGGAGCTTGTTCTACAGAAGCCAGGGAAAGACCATTTCTGGTGGACTTACCGCAAGGACGAAGGCCGTAGGTAGTAATAATAAGCTTGGTGGATTTCAGAAGCCAAAGAAAGTCAGTGTGGTTATAGCATGGAGTAAGTGGGTAGTGACATTAGAAGTGAAGAAGAGGCTGAGGGCATGGTGCAGGGCCACAGTGAAGAGTATGGATTTTAAGCATAATGGAAGCTGTAGGGGGATTGTAGGCCAGGGAGTGAACAGATGTTATTTATTTTTTATTTTTATTTTTTTATTTTTATTTTTGAGATGGAGTCTCTCTCTGTACCCCTGGCTGGAGTGCAGTGGCGCGATCTCGGCTCACTGCAAGCTCCGCCTCCCGGGATCATGCCGTTCTCCTGCCTCAGCCTCCTGAGTAGCTGGGACTACAGGCGCCCGCCACCACGCCCGGCTAGTTTTTTTTGTATTTTTAGTAGAGACGGGGTTTCACCGTGTTAGCCAGGATGGTCTCGATCTCCTGACCTTGTGATCCGCCCGCCTCGGCCTCCCAAAGTGCTGGGATTACAGGCGTGAGCCACCGCGCCCGGCTTATATTTTTAACTATTACTTTTGCTGCTCTGTAGAGATTGGATTGTGTTAGGTTAAGACGGAAGCAGAAGACCATTTGGAAACTACTGTGATAATCTAGGGGATATATGATGCTGTTATACAAGCAACATTTGTAAAGCACTTTCTGGTTTACCATGCACATCTTCACATGTCTTCTTCTTAGACCCTCACAACAGTCCTGTTAGGCAGGGCTGTTATTTTTAACTCCATTGGTTAGGCAGAGAAGGACATAGGCTGTGAGACGAAATGACAGCTAGTAGTGGGAGAGGAAGTTCTCAGATTGCTCTCCTGAGTCCTGACCCAATTGCTCTGTTCATTGACATTCCCACTGCCATTCCCCAGATCTCAGGGGAACACCATTTAGTTCCACAGTATGTGGGAAACCTAGAGATAAGTGAGCTCTGTGTCTGTCCTCAGTGTGCAGCTGAATCAAGGAGAAGGATATATACAAGGAGTATCTTAAAGTTTAGTGTTGCTCATCTGATGAACTCTGATTGACTTCATGGTGTTGTTTTTTCGGTTTTTGTTTGGTTTGGTTTGGTTTGGGTTTGGTTTTGGTTTTTGAGACAATTTTGCCCTGTCGCCCAGGCTAGAGTGCAGTGGGCGATCTTGGCTCACTGCAACCTCTAACTCCCGGGCTCAAGCAATTCTCATGCCTCAGCTTCCTGAGTAGCTGGGATTACAAGACGTGCCACCATGCCCAGCTAATTTTTGTATTTTTGGTAGAGATGGGTTTTCGCCATGTTGGCCAGGCTGATCTCAAACTCTGAACCTCAGGTGATCCACCCACCTTGGCCTCCCAAAGTGCTGGGATTACAGGTGTGAACCACAGCTCCCGGCCAATGTGGTTGTTTATTCTTCTCTGCTTTACCGGGAAGATGATGATTGAGTATATATCAGTGTCCACAGTAAACAGTTATTTATCCTAATGTATTTCTTCTACATTTTCTCACTCCCTAAGTCTTATCAGCTCTGACAGCAGAACTAGACTGTACCTGTCCATTCTCTCTACCTCCACTGCTGAGCTAGCCCCCGTCACACCTGTACTGCCTGATCAACCCACCTGATCTCCTTGCTACTATTTTTACCTTCCTATAATTCTTTCCCTACCCAGCAACTAGAATGGTCAGGTTGTTCCCCTGCGTAAAACCTATTGTGACAGATATCGCATGATTTCACTTATATGTGGAATCTCCAAGTTTGAACTCATAGAAGCAGAGAGTAGAATGGTAGTTGCTATGCACTGGGGAAAAAGGGAAATGGTCAAAGGGTACAAAGTTTCAGTTAGACAGGAGGAATAAGTTCTGGTGATCCACACAGCAAGGTGACTACAGTTAACAATCATGTATTATATATTTCAAAATTGCTAGAGTGGGTTTTTTAAAAATTACTTTTGTTATTGATACACATTACATGTGCATATTTTGGGAGTATATGTGATGTGTTAAATTCATATAATCACAGAGAAATACAAATCACATTTTTATTTCTCTTAATGATTAATGATATGGAATATATTTTCATATGCTTACTAGCCATTTATATATCTTCTTTGGAGAAATGTCTATTCAAATCCTTTGCTCAGTTTTTTGTTTGTTTTTTTGTTTTGAGACAGTCTCACTGTCTCAAATCACACATTCATAAACGCACGATCATGTATGCATGATCTGATTGTGATATGTGTTACTTTAAATATTTGTCTTTTCTTTAAACTAGAAACAGTCAAATTCTAGCTATTTTTTGGCGGGGGGTTGTTAAAAAAATTTAAAAAAAAAAATTTTTTTTTTTCAGTAGAAACAAAGTCACACTATATTACCCAGGCTGGTCTCAAACTCCTGAGCTCATGCAGTCCTCCTACCTCGGCTTCCCAAAGTGCTGGGATTACAGGAATGAGCCAGAGCCACTACACAAGGCCTGTTTTTTGTTTTTGTTTTTGTTTTTCTTTTTCTTTTTCTTTGTTTTCTTAAGAGTCTTACTCTATTACCCAGGCTGGAGTACAGTGGTGGGATCTTGGCTGACTGCAGCCTCAATCTCCTAGGCTCAAGTTATCCTCCCACCTCAGCCTTCTGAGTAGCTGGGACTATAGGCATGTGGCATCATGCCTGGCTAATTTTTGTAATTTTTGTAAAGGTAGGGTTTTGCCATGTTGCCCAGGGTGATCTAAAACTCCTGGGCACAAGTGATCCGCCCACCTTGGTCTCCCAAAGTGCTGGGATTACAGGCATGAGCCACTATACCTGGCCAATAGTCGTCATCTTACTGGGTGTGAGGTGGCATCTCATTGTAGTTTTCATTGCATTTCTCTAATGATTAATGATATGGAATATCTTTTCATGTGCTTACTGGCCATTTGTATATCTTCTTTGGAGAAATGTCTATTCAAGTCCTTTGCCCATTTCTTTTGTTTTGTTTTGAGACAGTCTCACTCTGTCACTCAGGCTGAAGTGCAGTGACTCAATCACAGCTCACTGCAGCCTTGACCAACAGCGCTCAAGCAATCCTCCTGCCTCAGCCTCCCCAGAAGCTGGGACTACAGGCATGTGCCACCATGCCTGGCAATTTTTAAATTTTTTGTAGAGATGGGTTTCATTATTTTCCCCAGGCTGGTCTAAAACTCCTGGGCTCAAGCACTTCTCCCACCTGGTCCTCCCAAAGTGTTGGGATTATAGGCGTGAGCCAACACATCTGGTCCTTTGCCCATTTTTTAATTGGAATGTTTGTTTTATTGAGTTTTAGGAGTTCTCTAAATACTCTGGATATTAATCCCTTATTGTTGCAAATATTTTCTCTCAATCTGTGAACTGCCTTTTACTCTGTTGATACCGTCTTTTTTTTTTTTTTTTTTGAGACAAGAGTCTCGCTCTGTCACCCAGGTTGGAGTGCAGTGGCCCGATCTTGGCTCACTGCAACCTCTGCCTCCCGGGTTCAAGCAATTCTCCTGCCTCAGCCTCCCGAGTAGCTGGGATTACAGGCTCCTGCCACCATGCTCGGCTAATTTTTGTATTTGTAGTAGAGACAGGGTTTCACCATGTTGGTGAGGCTGGTCTTGAACTCCTGACCTCAGGGGATTCGCCCACCTCGGCCTCCCAAAGTGCTGGGATTACAGGCGTGAGTCACCGTGCCTGGCCGATACTGTCTTTTAATGCACATAATTTTTAAAATTTTTTGTGAAATTCAGTTTGTCCATTTTTTTCTCGTATTGCCATTACTTATCCTTGAATGAAAACTTTTGTTTGGCAATGAATCCCCTAACAGACTTTTAAAAGTTGTCCAAAAGTAATTTTGGGAAATGATTGCAAATTTGTATTTTTTTTAAATGTGAGCACAAATCACAGGTGTGGAAGATTCACGTTCTCTATGTTCTTCCTAATATTTATTAAGACACTACCCTTGACAGCTACATAATTTTATTTTGTCTGGTGTAATTAATAGAATTATTTCCTTTAACATAATTATCATTGTATCCTGGTACAAAAGATTCTGCTTTCAAAACTTGAGTGAATATCTCTCTATATTCCCTTGCTAAAATGACATATCTGTTGCATGTGTGTATATACACACACACACATATATAACATATATACTCAACTTGGCAGATAAAGGCTGGTGGTGGGAGAATGCTATCGCTGCCCTGTTTCAGAGACACATTCCGGTCAGCTGGCTGATCCGCGCTGTGAGTATATTTAATGTGGAGCCCTCCTTAACTCCACTTCCACCTTCTAAACTGTTCTTTGTCATTTAACAATGTTGCTTTTAATGTAAGGAGCTCCTTAAAAGAAGAAGCATCTAAATGTTTGCAAAGTACATATAAACCTTTTTGATAAATGCCAAAGATAAAGCTAGACACTAGTTAAAGTGGTAAGGACAGATTGTAATCAGTATAAGCTATTGCAGTAAGGAAGAGTCCAATGTGAACTGAGTTCAACTTTAGTTTGTGCAGAGGTGATGGGTATTTTAAAAGGAGGTGAGGGAACAGGAGCTTAGGAGAATCAGAAAAGTGAAAAGTGGAAAGGAGGGGTTGGTTCATGTGAAACCAGTTTGAGTTTGCTAACTAGAACTTAGAAGTTACGCTCCAGGCTAGGCATGGTGGCTCGCACCTGTAATCCCAGCACTTTGGGAGGCCAAGGCGGGCAGATCTTGAGGTGAGGAGATTGAGACCATCCTGGCTAACACAGTGAAACCCTGTCTCTACTTAAACTACAAAAAATTAGCCGGGCGTGATGGCGGGCGCCTGTAGTCCCAGCTATTCGGGAGGCTGAGTTGAGGCAGGAGAATAGCATGAACCTGGGAGGTGGAGCTTACAGTGAGCCGAGATCGCGCCACTGCACTCCAGCCTGGTCAATAAGGGTGAAACTCCGTCTCAAAAAAAAAAAAAAAGGAAAAGAAGTTTTGCTCTTACCCTCCCACAGAACCAGGGAGACAGGGGCCCCACCTTCAGCTGTTGGCTGGAACAAATGTCAAATTCTTTTGACAGCCTGAAGTTTTCTCAGACAGGCACTTTAAGGGGGCCTAGTCATCTGAGAGACGTGGCCTTGAGCTGTTAGAAACTATTAGTATTTGTTCGAGTCTTTATAAGCCAGGGTCAAGGTGTAATAGAGAAGAGGGCTCAGAGGAGCCTGGTTAGAGTTCGGTCAAGGAGAGAATCTTTGTCATAGGCCAGAGTTTTCCACAATAGCTGATTGAGAAAGGAGATAATATTATGCTCTTCTACAGAGACAGATGTACTTTCCTTTTAAAATCTCCATTTGCAAATATCCAAACTAGCAAAGCAAATGCGTTAGAAGGTAGCTATGCACACAATAAAAGGAACATCTGCTCTACAAGAACTTATTAAAATGTGCTGGGTTCCAGGCCACATCTACAGTAGTCTCCCCTTATTCTTGGTTTCTGTTACCCACAGTCAACTGTGGTCCAGAAATATGAAATGGAAAATTCCAGAAATAATTCATCGTTTTTAAATTGCACAATATTCTGAATAGTGGGATGAAATCAGTCACCTAGTAACTGTCTCAACTATCAGACTGTCACCGCATCTCAGTGCTTGTGTTCAAGGAACCCTTATCGTACTGCATAATTTGCCACAAAGTGCAAGAATAGAGATGCCGGCAACTTGGGTATGACAAAAAGAAGCTGTAAGGTGCTTCCTTTAAGTGAAAATGAAATGGCATCTTTGTCCGGGGTGATACCTGAGATTTGTTGTCACAGGGCCACAGAAAACTAGAATGCGGACACACCAGAGTGAGGTTAAGAGTGGAAGTTTAATAGGCGAAAGAAAGAGAAGAGCTCTCTGCAGCAAGAGAGGTCCCAAAAAAATGAGTTGCCGCTTCCACGGGGAAATGCAGGAGGTTTTATGGATGAGCTTGAGGAGGCGGTGTCTGATTTACATAGGGCAGGAAAGATTGTTTGGACCAGATGTGCCATTTGCATAGGGCACGAAAAGCTGTCTGCCCCCACCCTAATCTTTTATTATGCAGATGAATTCTCTACCTGGCTGGTGCCATGTTGCCTGCTTCCTTACTGTACACATGGTGACAAAGAAAAGGGAAGATGGGCCGGGCGCGGTGGCTCACACCCGTAATCCCAGAACTTTAGGAGGCCGAGGCGGGTGGATCACCTGAGGTCAGGAGTTGGTGAAACCTCGTCTCTACTAAAAATACAAAAATTAGCAGGGTGTAGTGGCGGGTGCCTGTAATCCCCCTCTTGGGTGGCTGAGGCAGGAGAATCACTTGAATTCAGGAGGCAGAGGTTGCAGTGAGCCGAGATCGCACCACGGCACTCCAGCCTGGGCAACACAGCAAGACTCTGTCTCAAAAAAAAGAAAAAGAAAAAAGCAGGGAAGATGGAGCCTCCATGTTGAACATGCCTGGCCCCCAGGTAGCCCTTTTCTGTTGGCACAGCTGCCGGCATCCACCTGTGCAAGCTTCCAGCTTGCTTATGTCTATGTTTGCAGCTCCACTTTTCAGGCTGCTCTTTGTTAGAAAAGAAGAACTTCTTGGGCTACTTTTTGTTAGAAAGGAAGCCTTGCCAAGGACTCTTTTACCCTATCTGCCTAAATAATTTATTTCTGGTCAGGCGTGGTGGCTCAAGCCTGTAATCCCAGCACTTTGGGAGGCCGAGACGGGTGGATCACGAGGTCAGGAGATCGAGAGCATCCTGGCTAACACGGTGAAACCCCATCTCTACTAAAAAATACAAAAAACTAGCCGGGCGAAGTGGCGGGCGCCTGTAGTCCCAGCTACTTGGGAGGCTGAGGCAGGAGAATGGCGTAAACCCGGGAGGCGGAGCTTGCAGTGAGCTGAGATCCGGCCACTGCACTCCAGCCCGGGCGACAGAGCAAGACTCCGTCTAAAAAAAAAAAAAAAATTATTTCTATCTCCTGTATCAAAAAGGTAAAAGTTCTTGGTAAGGAAAGAGAAAAAAATCCTTATGCTGAGGTTGCTGTGTTCTCTGGTAAGGATGAATCTGCTGGGTGTGATGGTGCTCGCCTGCAGGCCCAGACACTCAGGAGGCTGAGGTGGGAGGATCCCTTCTGCCCAGGAGTTCAGGTCCAATAGACAACATATTGAGACCCCATGTCTGAAAAGAAGTAAATAAATAAAATAACAAAAGAAACCTCTGGGACCTAGACTAAAAAAAAAAAAAAAGGAAAGAAAGAAGAAAGAACCCCCATGTCTATTAGCAGTCACTGCCCATTTCCTCCATTTCCTGAGATGGATGAGGCATTTGCACTCCCTGACTTTGTCACCTGGGTAAAATAAGTCACCACTGCCTTCATTATTTTTTATTGATGTTCTTTTGCTTTGTTGTCACAGGTTAGAGGCAATGAATTTTATGGTAGTTGGGGGATGGTATAGGCAACATAAGCAAACTCATATTTCATCACTCCTATTACCTCTGCAAAGGCCTGGGGAAAATTTCCTCTTTGCCCTCTGAAGGTTCACTGAAAAGTCAACTCACAAAAGGCAGATTAATTGGAGAAAAGGCATACAAATTTATTTAACATGTACATGACATAGGAGTCTTCAGAATGAAGACCCAGAGATACAGGGGACATTGTCCAGTTTTATGCTTAGGTTTAACAAAGTATGGAATGCCATGTAGAAATATGATTAGACAAAAAGGTAGATCCAGTGCTAATAAATGGAGTGGGGAAACCCAGCTAGGCCTGTCTGTCTAGATTCTTCTTGGCCTCTCTGACCATACATTTCCTTTTTCTGGGTACAGGGCAGGATCCTCTCTGGAAAGGGATCATATGACCTACAGTCAAACAAGTTAGGACAGATCATTTCTTTCTTTTTTTTTTTTTTTTTTTTGGAGACAGGGTCTTACTCTGTCGCCCAGGCTGGAGTGCAGCGGCGCAATCTCGGCTCACTGCAACCTTCACTTCCTGGGTTCAAGCAATTCTCCCACCTCAGCTCCCTGAGTAGCTAAGTATAAGGCAAGAAAACTCTACAAAGCCCTGCCATGGGTTTTGTAGAGTTTTCTTGCCTTATACTTATTGCTGTTAGGGTTTATGGTGCTGAATGATGGAGCGTTTGCAGACACCAATATCCTGAATTGTTCTTTTGTTTGACTCTATCACCACCTCCACCCTTGACAGTGTGCCCTGGCAATATCCAGGATGGGTGAGCATACAATGTACTTCCTTTAAAACATGGCAGCAGAATGGTTGTGAAGGTGGAGACAGGAAGAGCAGGCCCTCCACCGAAGGATATTCTTGAGCAGATCAGCTCTGGGAAGGAGCCCATATGGAATCTGAAGATTTGGGGAGTGATCCCCTTAAGTATCCTTGCCACAGGCCTTTGGAAGTCTTCCTGGGCCCTCGGGGTGTCTGAACACCTATTAAGCTCAGGGCCCTAATGTAGTGCATGCTCTTTCATCCCCAAGCCTTTGCCAGTCTAGTCCATCGAACTAGAACCCTCCTCCCCACTGCCACTCCTCACCCTGCAACCACCACTTTCACCACTCACTTGTGTTTGTCTCTTTGGCTTCAATTCATGTGATGCTTCCCTGAAGTACTTCTTCCACTGCCTTTGGTGAGGATGGGTCCCCTACGGTGACATCCATAGCATCTTCTCCTATGTGAACACTCATTACACTGTCACCATTGGCTGTTGACTTTTCTGTCTTCCTCAGAGGTTTGGGGAGAATAGGACCAGTCGACTCATTCACTGCTCTATCCCCACACCAGCACAGTGCCTGGCACAGAGTAGGTATTCCAGAAAACCCTGTTGAAATAATACATGAATGAAGAAGCATGATGAGTCCTTTGTGAGGGCGATCTGCCTGGAGAGCACACAGCCCGTGTTTTCTGAGCCAGGCCTAGGAATTGTCAACAGTTCTCTCCTCCTGTCAGAAATTTCTGCTGCTCCTGGCACCCCCTTTGAAGCTGACATTTCTCCCGTCTTAGGAGTCCTAATGACAAGAGGATAAGGTCAGAGCAGATCAAGGTGATAGTCATGACACAGCATATCAGGAGAATGTGCTTTGGATCATTTTTGCATCATCTGGTGCGGACCCAGCTGCAGGTGAGGTTGCTCATGCAAGTTCTTCTTTTTGTTCAGACCCTGAATGAGTCAGAAAACTTCGAAGCAGCTGTTGGCAAGTTGGCCAAGACTCCCCTCATTGCTGATGTTTATTACATTGTTGGTGGCACCTCCCCCCAGGAGGGGGTGGTCATCACGAGGAACAGAGATGGCCCCGCAGACATTTGGCCTCTAGATCCTTTGAATGGAGTGTAAGTAGAACCGAAAGTTCTGGTCATTCTGTATCAAATAATCATGTTTTTAAATTGGTGGAATGAAGGGTATTTAAAATTTGTTCATATGTCTCCTTTGCTATGTCGTAAATTGTTGTGGATAAGACAAGATGATGTGCTCTGTTGTAGGTGGTTCCGAGTTGAGACAAATTATGACCACTGGAAGCCAGCACCCAAGCGAGATGACCGGAGGTAGGCTGCTACGTGCTTTCTGGTTTGCAGTGTTTTCTTGTGGTCAGGAGAATATGCCCATTCTGTCACAGGAACCGGCAAGACCTACGGGTGCCATCCTCTCCCAGAAAATGTACCTGGGCCCCTTCACCAGTGTCTTGGCCGGGAAGGGAGTGTTGTGTGGAGGAAAGCAATGGGCAGAACCTCTCAGCAGCTGGGCGGGTGTTGGGAGGGTCTCAGGGTCAGGAGCCCTAGAGCCCACCACCAGCTCTGCTAATGACTCACTGGGTGGCTCTCGGGCCTCTGTTTACCCATCTGTAAAATGAAAGCAAAGGGCCAGGTTCATGGTCTTCTAGGCAAGATATTTTTAGAAGGAAATTATTTCCCTTATTTAAATAATAAACCAGTCAAGGGTTTTTATTGTCCCTTCAAGTTGTAAACATTCTATAATTATAAGTCAGCACAGTTCCAAAGTGCAGGTAGCTATATACATTGCCTTGGCTTTACTGCCCCACAAGTTTGGCCACTGTTCAGTTCTGCAGCCACACATTTTCATCATCCCAGCTTTCTTGAGCAGATGGTGCCAACCGTCCCAGCTGCTGGATGAATTCCACCATGGTGAGCTGGGCCTCAGCAGGAAACAGGCTTGGGGCCAGAATCTGTTTTGGAGAAAGGGAGATAATGAGACTAGAGCTTGCATTGTGCCTCATAAAAATGACAGCTGACGGGCTTCAGTGCTTGTTGAAATGCCAAGTGACCTTCGACCATTGTCCTTACAGAACACCTGCCATCAAGGCCCTTAATGCTACGGGACAAGCAAACCTCAGCCTGGAGGCACTTTTCCAGGTAACTTGTGTCACAGTGTCGCGCTTACCCAGGATGTTTGGTGTTTTGTTAATAGTGAATATGAAAAACTCCGTGAACTCCTCTGGTAGGTGAAAATGTTAGTGTAAAAATTTTATTTGGTTGAAATCATTTATTAAAAGTGGTGGCTCACGCCTGTAATCCCAGCACTTTGGGAGGCCAAGGCGGGCAGATCACGAGGTCAGGAGATCGAGACCATCCTGGCTAACATGGTGAAACCCCATCTCTACTAAAAATACAAAAAATTAGCCGGGTGTGGTGGCCGGCACCTGTGGTCCCAGCTACTCAGGAGGCTGTGGCAGGAGAATGGTGTGAACTTGGGAGGCAGAGCTTGCAGTGAGCCGAGATCGCGCCACTGCACTCCAGCCTGGGTGACAGAGCAAGACTCCGTCTCAAAAAAAAAAAAAAAAAAAAAAGTTATATGCCATTTTCTGAACTTGCTTCTATATAAGTTAAAATGTCCATCTTCACCAAAGTTTTTCTTTATGTTAAAAAGAAAAAGGCATAGTTGTAATATACGTTCATTGTTTAAAAGAAAAAAAGAGAAAGAATTAAAAAGTCAGGCCGGGTGCAGTGGCTCACACCTATAATCCCAGCAGTTTGGGAGGTCAAGACAGGAGGATCACTTGAGGTCAGGACTTGGAGACCAGCCTGGCCAACATGGTGAAACCCTGTCTCTACTAAAAATGTAGAAATTAGCCAGGCATGGTGGTGTGTGCCTGTAATCCCAGCTACTCGGAAGGCTGAGGCAGGAGAATCGGTTGAACCCATAGGTGGAGGTTGCAATGAGCCAAGATCATGCCACTGCACTCTAGCCTGGATGAAACAGCAAGACTCTGTCTCAAAAAAAAAGTCTATAACTATCACCTCAAGATACACTAAAGAGTGGCTATGTTCTTTCTACAGACATCCTTTTTTTTTTCTTTTTTATTAGAGACAGGGTCTCTCTATGTTGCCCCGGCTGGTCTTGAACTGCTGGGCTTGAACGGTCCTCCCACATCAGCTTCCCAAAGTGCTGGGATTACAGGCCTGAGTCACTGCACCTGGCCCTCCGTAGATATTCTTTGTGTGTTTCTTCTACCATGTAATCTTCTATATAATATGACTTTTTCCTATGCAGGTTTTGTCGGTGGTTCCAGTTTGTAACAAGTAAGTGACTTGTTAAACATGTCTGTTCACACATCACTGCAGAACAGTGAACTCACTCACGCACTCTTTGGCTCAGCAAGGATCTGAGGGCTCCCGTAACCAGGCTGTGGGGGCGCTCCTGTGGGTACAGCAGCGAGCAAAACAAAGTCTCTGCTCTCACGGGACTAACATGGGTGGGGTGGGGGTGGGGGGTGATCAACAAATATAAATCAGGTGAGAAGTCCATGAAGAAATCCAAAGGTAAAGAGAATAGAGTGACCCTGAAGGAGGCTCTGGGAATTTTTTTTTTTTTTTTTTTTTTGGAGTCTCCTGTGTCCCCCAGGCTGGAGCGCAGTGGCTCAATCTCAGCTCACTGCAAGCTCTGCCTCCTAGGTTCACACCATTCTCCTGCCTCGGCCTCCCAAGTAGCTGGGAGTGCAGATGCCCGCCACCACGCCCGGCTAATTTTTTGTATTTTTTTAGTAGAGACAGCATTTCACCGTGTTAGCCAGGATGGTCTCAATCTCCTGACCTCATTATCTGCCTGCCTCGGCCTCCACAAAGTGCTAGGATTACAGGCATGAGCCACCATGCCTGGCCAGCTCTGGGAATTTTACATTCACACTTGGCCTGCCATAGTGTTGTCAAACTAGGAGGAAAAACACTTTGACTGGCTGACCTCTTGATTCCTACATTTGAAATATGCCGGCAGTGAGGTGTTCCTCCTAACTCAGTCAGGTAGCTGTGGACAGCCTTCACCCGTTAGGAGCTCCTTAGAAATAAACTCTGAATACCTTTGGTTTTCTTTTATCTTCCCGAGGAATTTCCACTATCTCTGATGCTGTTCCTTGTTCCACTGACAATTCACTAAGTTAATGTTCTTTTTTAGCCTGTACCCTTGATAGCAGCATTCTGTGTGCAATGGTTTCTCTAGTCTATAGTCTAGGATTTTTATCCACATACTTTTTTTTTTTTTTTTTAAGTGAAAGCAGGCCTGGCGTGGTGGCTCACACCTGTGATCCCAGCACTTTGGGAGGCCGAGGCGGGTGGATCACTTGAGGTCAGGAGTTCGAGACCAGCCTGGCCAACATAATGAAACCCTGTCTCTACGAAAAATACAAAAATCAGCCAGGCATGACGGTGCATGCCTGTAATCACAGGTACTTGGGAGGCAGCATGTGGAGAATCACTTGAACCTGGGAGGTCGAGGCTGCAAGTGAGCTGAGATCATGCCACGGCACTCTAGCCTGGGCAACAGAGCGAGACTCTCTCTCAAAAAAAAAAAAAAAAAAAAAAAGAAAAAGAAAAGAAAACTAATTAGTATTCTGCTACTCAAACAAGTGAGCTATTTGGGTAACAAAGCATACCCAGTGGTCTGCTAGTAAGCCAGCTCTTTGTGTGGGAAGGGACCAACAAAAAAATTCCCAAATTTGTAGCATTTGTTGATTTCCATGGTGTGAATACTCCCACATGGCTGATTTCAAGCTTACAGTTGGCTCATACACTTCCTGCATATTTAAGAATTGGCCCTCAGCAGCCTGTAGGAGCCAGCTCCAATGCACTACTGACTGTACCCTTCATAGCGGGGCACAGTTTTGCCCTTTTAATAGTCATTTTCTAAATAGGGGTTAATAAACTATTTTTGTGTTCTTACAGTTTTTTTAGGTAATTATGGAAGTGATGAATAGATCTGTCTGGGCGCAGTGCCTCACACCTGTAATCCTAGCACTTTGGGAAGCCAAGGCGGGTGGATCACTTGAGGTCAGGAGTTCGAGACCAGCCTGGCCAACATGATGAAACCTAGTCTCTACTAAAAATACAAAAATTAGCTGGGCATCGTGGTGCATGCCTGTAAGCCCAGCTACTCGGGAGGCTGAGGCAGGAGAATCGCTTGAATCCAGGAGATGGAGGTTGCAGTGAGCCAAAATGGCACTCCAGCCTGGGTGACAGAGGGACACTCCATCTAAAAAAAAAAAAAAAAAAAAAAGTGATGAATATATCTTTTAAAAATTAGCATTATAATAAATAGTTAAATTTATTTTAATAAAACGAAGCATTTTATCTGCTTTGAACAGCCCTTATAATTTTACATGGTGGCAGTGGCCAATTGTCTGTATTATAATTGAGTTAAGTATTCTCCAGTTGTTATATCTTCCTTTATTAAAACTCTGAAATAAACATATTCGTTTGCCTCTCCCCTGCTTACTTTCAGATTATTTCCCTTGACTGAATTCCCAGAAGTAGGATTATTGAGTTAACAGCTGTGAATGTTGAAATGGTTTCTGAAATGGTTTGGTCAAAATACAATTGTTAGAAATTATACACAGTTCACCAAGTAGTGTTTTTCTCTGTTGTATACTTGAAAACTCAAGAGAAACTGCATTTAAGTAACAATCACCATGGAGCCAGAATTAACACAGACTTCTGACTCTCAGGCCCTTTATGTGTAATGATTAACCTCAACCGAGGCTGTTCAGTTGTGTGAGGTTAATAGAAATGAGTGTAACTGTAAGAAAAAGAAAACAGAAAAACAACAAAAAAGTAGTCTGCAAAGGCAGTTAGCTCTATGCTGCTCCCTTGTGCTGTGCTACAGAATTACACCCACCTCCAATACAACTCCATCCTCTGCTGTGGCTCATCAGCAGGGAAAATACTAAAACAGTGATGGAGAATAGAACCATGACTAAAGTAAACGAGCAGCTAAGGTCCTGTTCAGGGAACCTCCATTACCCTTGGACGAGCTCTGCACTTGCTCATAGTGCTATCTTTAACTGAGTGTATGATTTAGCTGTGGACCCAGTGCTACTAATTCTGCCTGTTTCTGAACAACCCAGCTCCGATATTTTGCACATGCACCTCAGTTGGATTCCAAGACAAGTGTGTGTGCATGTGGGCACATGTGCTCAAGTTGTTTAGGTCTCTTCCTATATGGAATGTGGAATCAATGACACTATACTTTTCATCCTTAGGTCTGGGCAAGGTGGAGGGGTGGGGCAGGTGCCTTGATCCTGGAGCTTTAGAGGCCCTCTTCTGGAATTCCTCTAGTTGTGATACCACCCCCCGAACCATGGTGTAAGGAATCTGCTGGACCAAGGGCATTTGCCCACCTAGAGTCTGCCCAAGTACCCAGGACCCTGTAATTCTCAGCCTGAACAGCCCCACCTCCACTTCCAGGGTTTGTGTTTTCCTCTTCCCTGGGTGGTATTCTCCTGATGGTGGTGCACGGCCACTGAGGGAGAGCACAGGGGTAGGTGCTTGCTGGGGAATGTGAAGGCGATGATGTCACATGTATGCAAGTAAGGCCCTTGGGGGTAGGACAGAGCCAGGGGTGAGGGCCCAGGCTTGGTCTCCCCCACTGCCTTGGGGTAGAGCTCTGAGGAGTCTGAGATTTTATTTATTTATTTTTTATGAGACACAGTCTCACTCTGTTGCCCAGGCTGGAGTGCAGTGGCGCAATCTCGGCTCAGTGCAACCTCCGCCTCCCAAGTTCAAGCAATTCTCCTGCCTCAGCCTCCCTAGTAACTGGGATTTCAGGCACCACCACACACAGCTGATTAAGTCTGAGTTTTAAGTTCCAACTTGGCCTTCCACAGTGTTGTCAAAATAGGAGGAAAGAGCACTTTGACCTCTTGATTCACAGAATTAAAATATTCTGGCATAAAGGGCCTTGTCCCAGATCCCAGGTGTTAGGGAAGCACTTGGTCATTTTCTTCCGTCTCTGGCCTATTAGAGAAAATTATGTGTACATAAAATTTCCTCTCATTATTTTCAGCCTCACAATTTATACTACGGTAATGAGCGCCGGTAGCCCAGACAAGTACATAAGTAGGATCAGAAACCCAAGTCGAAAGTAAGTCAGCAGAAGAGCGAGTTCATCCGTGCTGTGAAAGGTTTGTTGTTACTGTTGTTTTGGGGAGATGTGGGGAGGTGGGTGTGTGCTGGTATTTCTCACAGAGGATGGTAACATCCTTAAAATGTATACATATATAATATTTTCTGACAAGCGTCTGGCATTGTCATTTGTGTCAGATTGTCATCATTAGATATTTTATTTGGAATCGTTTGTATGAAAACCAATCTTCGGCCGGGCATAGTGGCTCATGCCTGTAATCTCAGCACTTTGGGAGGCAGAGGCAGGTGGATCACTTGGGGTCAGGAGTTCAAGACCACCCTGGCCAACATGGTGAAACCCCATCTCTACTAAAACTAGAAAAAACTGTTAGCCAGGTGTGGTGGCGGGCACCCAAAATCCCAGCTACTCAGACGCTGAGGCAGGAAAATTGCTTGAACCCAGGAGGTGGAGTTTGCAGTGAGCTGAGATCACACCACCCAGCCTGGGAAACAGAGTAAGACTCCATCTCAAAAAAAAAAAAAAAAAAAAAATCAGTCTTTGAATTAAATGCATGTTTTTCTTCCCTTACAGATGATTTTTTAAAATGAAATTCTTGAAGAGCTGCACCTTAAAAAATCAGAGAAAGTGAAAGTATTGTGTTATATTACGAACAATGCAGGCTCCTTCCTCATTTAACTTTTCAACCTTGCGAAGTGGGGCCAGAAGATTGATTTGGAGTTTGTGGTAAAGCCTGTAATGGGCATTGTCCTGCACCCGCTTCCCTTCGTGGTTTGCCTCGATCCTCTCTAAGCTTACATCCTGGCCTGAATAACGCAAAGATAATTGGTCTCAGAGTTCAAGCCATATCCTCAGACCTTATTTCCATCTTCTCATAAATCTGCCATCATACCTTTGCTTCTCCACTAATGAAATGAGCTGGCAAGACCTCTGTTCATTATGAAGTGCTTCTGAAAGAGCCTAAAAAAAGGCTCATCTGAAAGAAATGGAGAGCTCTATTTCGAACCAAGCCTGTTTGAATGTGTGTTAGTCTGATCTTTGATCATGTATTTCTATGTAATGGGAGTCTTGTTTTTTATAATGTTTCTAATGTTTTATTGAAAAACCTATGGACCTCTTTCTTTCTCAACATCTACTTTCTTACTGCTTTTTGAAAATAATGTGCAACCAAATTGTTTCTTAATATCACATAATTAAGTAATAAAACGTCAAAAGAAATGTTGGCAAGAAGAATAAAAAAATTTTCCAAGAAATTTAGCGTTGTGTTCTCCCTGCTTTCTTACCTCTGAAGTCTTGTGGTTTTGAACGGCTGTCCTGAGAAAGCAGCTCTCTTAGTTGTGATGTTATTTAAGTGTCAGGATTCAAGGGAATGAACAGCTGCTTTGTAGAGTTTGATTTTTCACATGTGCGTGAAAGAAATACCCTAGAGGATGAAGTCAGAAAAGGTTGAAAGTGTAAATAAAAATGTGACTGAGGCAGCACTCAATCCTTTAGAGGTTTATTTTGCCAAGGTTGAGGACGTGCCCGGGAAAAAGAAACACCAGTCACCGGAGGACCTGTCCCATGCTTTTCCCAAAGAGGATTTGGGGAACTTCAGTATTTAAAGGGGAAAGAGCAAGCAGCCGGGGGGAAGAAAAGGAGGGTAGACAGTGAGGCAAGTGGTTACATTCTTGTGAGCTCTTATTATTGGTGCTCAGTGAATCTACATCTAGCACATGAAAAGAAGGAAATGGAGGGAAAGTCAGTGATACATTTGTCTCATGCTCAGTAAGTCTACATTTTATATAAGATAAAACAACCATGTGAAATTACAGCTATGTTTGGGAACAAAAGGAAGGCAGTTTTTGAGTGTCTCGGTTCCCAAGTTTAACTTTTCCTTTGTCATAGTGAGTAGAATGTCTAGAAGGAAGTGTTATCCAGGTACAGAACATCCCTCCCCTGAAGCTGCAGACCTCTCTAGTGGCCCAGAATATTCATGTTTCTTCTTGGACAGTGTCGGATAAATACTGTTCAATTTTCATCATCCAGTGCCCTTTTAAAAATCAAATGTGAGAAGTAGTTTACTCATGCCAGCTGTATCACACATCACACAGCCATTGAAACCAGAAATTTCTACTCATTCATCTTTTTTTTTTTTTTTTTTTTTTTTGAGACAGATTCTTGCTCCATCACCCAAGCTAGAGTGCAGTGGCGCAATCTTGGCTCACTGCAACCTCTGCCTCCAGGGTTCAAGCAATTCTTGTGCCTCAGCCTCCTGAGTAGCTGAGATTACAGGCGTGTGCCACCATGCCTGGCTTATTCTGTATTTTTAGTAGAGATGGGTTTTCACTATGTTGGCCAGGGTAAATTTCTACTTACTAGCCTTATTCCATTCTTGTTTTCTTGAAAATATACTGTGATCTTTGGAAATTTGGGGAATACCCTAATTTTAACCAGGCAAAGCCAAAGCATCAACGGCTGTTCCTCAGGAAAATGATTTAAGTAATCCAACACTCTGGTTGCTTTTCAGATATTTGTCTTTTTGTTGAAACCGCCTTTGTGAAGAGGATGACAGTGAGAGAAGTCTAGCATGGCTGACTCCATCTTGCTTCTAGCCTCATAAGCTGGCTGCCCTTGCTCATTCCTGGGCACAGACCAAGCTAATCGTGGGAAGAATTTAGTTTATAGTTTTAACTTTAAAGAAAGGATGATAATAGCCCCTCCCTCAGACTAACCTCTGCCCTTTGTAAAACTAATGGAAAAGCCACCTTTGTAAAACTAATGGAAGGCTATGAGATTAGGATTATGGGAGGAACCCGAATTCTGCTAAATGTAGGCATAGTTTCTATAATCCCTTACTGCTCAGGAATCATGTGGCTAGAGGTCACAAGATTCACGACTTCCCCAATTGTTCCTATAGAGAACATCACTACTGTAGAGCCTAAGACTGGTCTTTTGAGATGTTTTTCAGACTTTTGCATTCTGGTAACCACTTGACCCCACCAGGACCTGTGACCATGAGTCAACTAATCCTGTGGCCCTCACCCAAAGGGCATACTCAGTGCATAAAGATTGTTTTCCATGCCCCTGTAATTTTGTCCCCAATCAGCAACCCCCTTCCTTAGACCCCAACTCACCAAATTATCCATTAAAACTCTAGCCCCTGAGTTCTTGGAGAGACTGATTTGAGTAATAACACTCATGCTCCTGCTAGGACTGTTAATTGAACTCTTTCTCTACTGCAGTACTATGATCTCAGTGAATTGGTTTTGCCTGTGCAGTGAGCAAGAATCCATCAGGTGATTTTCAGGTCTCTGAACCCAAGCTAAGCCATCATATCCCCTGTGACCGGCACTTATACATCCAGATGGCCTGAAGCAACTGAAGATCCACAAAAGAAGTGAAAATAGCCAGTTCCTGCCTTCACTGATGACATTCCACCATTGCGATTTGTTCCTGCCCCACCCTAACGGATCAATTGACTTTGTGACAATACACCCTCCCTGCCCTTGTGATAATGTACTTTGTACGATATTCCCTCCTCACCCTTGAGAAGGTACTTTATAATATCCTCCCCGCCCTTGAGAATGTGGTTTTTAAGATCCACCCCCTGCCCACAAAAAAATTGCTCCTAACTCCACTGCCTACCCCAAACCTATAAGAACTAATGATAATCCCACCACACCTTGCTGACTCCTTTTTCGGACTCAGCCCACCTCCACCCAGGTGATTAAAAAACTTTATTGCTCACACAAAGCCTGTTTGGTGGTCTCTTCACACGGACGTGTGTGACAGTGATAACAGTGTCATGTGGTTTAACTACAATGTGTCCAGATATTGAATTTTGTTTAAGCCTGCTTGGGATTTGTTGTGCTCCCCAAATTTCACATTTATGTCTTTTATTCAATTTTGGAAAATACTCAGCTATCTCAGAATTGCTCTCCTACATTCTCTTGTGTCTTTTCTCCTGAACTTCAAGTATGCTGAAGGAGCTCAGAACACACCACCCCAAATATGCCACTTTAGTATGAGGACTATTTTGAGCAAAATGCACTTAAACAAAACCCAGCAGGGACAAGAAATTCACTCTGGCCCTCCCCATTTTCTTCCTGAAAACAAGAGATAAAATCTCCATTTGGAAGATGTCCTTCCAATACCAGGAGGAAAGTAACATTCTTATCAAACATCTAAATGTCCATCTAGGCATGAATGGATAAAGAAAATATGGTATGTACACACAATGGAATATTATTCATCCTTTAAAAAGAAGGCAGACAGGCACAGTTGCTCACATCTGTAATCCCAGTTACTCAGGAGGCTGAGGAGTGCATAAGCCCAGGAGTTTGAGACTAGCCTGGCCAACATAGCAAGACCTCGTTTCTAAAACAAAATTTGTTTAAAATTCGCCGGGCATGGGGGTGTGCACCTGTAGTCCCAGCTACTTGGGAGGCTGAGGTAGGAGGACCACTTGAGCCCAGGAGTTTAAGGCTGCAGTGAGCTATGATTATGCCATGGCACTCCAGCTTGAGCAACCGAGTGAGAACTTGACTCTAAAAAGTAAAAAAGAAGATGGTCTTGCTGTGGGGGAGGAAAAATCAATTCCTCCACCCATCTTATGTTCTCAGCTGGGGCCATGTAAATTAGACTGACAAAAGACAGATTAACATAACAGCAAAAAAGATGAACAGTTGAAAAAACAAATAGAAGTTGATTAACATGTGTACAGAATATGCAATATGGAGTACCCAGGAAATGTGTAACTCAAAGGTTTGTCTTGAACTTGTTTTTATATAGCATCTTAGCAAAGGAACTATAAATTTTTAGAGAAGTGACAAGAAAAAGGGAAAGGACCTTGAGTCTCTAGGGGCAGGAAATGGTGAGAAGGAAAACATGTAGTAACAAAAGATAGCATGAAAGTTCATTGGTTGGGTGTGGTGGCTCACACCTGTAATCCCAGGACTTTGTGGAGCTGAAGTGGGCAGATCACCCGAGGTCAGGAGTTTGAGACCAGCCTGGCCAACATGGTGAAACCTGTCTCTTCTAAAAATACAAAAAAATTAGCTGGGCATGGTGGTGGGCGCCTGTAATCCCAGCTACGTGGGAGGCTGAGGCAGCAGAATCACTTGAACCTGGGAGGTTGAGGTTGCAGTGAACCAAAGTCGTACCATTGCACTCCAGCCTGGGCAACAAGAGTGAAACTCTGTCTCAAATAAAAAAAAGAAAAGAAAAGCAAGTTAATTACATTAATTGGGTCATTCTTATTATGCCCAACTAAAAGTGTCGAGGCCAGGTGCAGTAGCTCAGTGCTTCAGGAGGCTGAGGCAGGAGCATTGCTTGAGACTAGGAGCTTACCACCAGCTTGGGCAATGTAAGGAGACTCTCGTCTCTACAAAAAACAAACAAAAAGATTAGCTGGTGTGGTGGCTCATACTTGTAGTCCCAGCTACTCGAGACAATTGCTGGAGCCCAGGAAGTTGAGACTGAAGTAAGCTATGATTGCACCACTGCACTCCAGCCTGGGCGACAGGAGATCTTGTCTCTAAAAAAAATTTTTTTAATTATAAAAGGGCATTTAGAGGAAAGGAAGAAAAAGCACACAGGGCACAAAACGTTGCTCCAAGAATGTAATTCTTGGCAAGCTTGACTGCTGAAACTACCTGTTAAAACCCGAAACCAGTTTTATCTGGTAGCTACTGAAACAGCTGCTGAGACTGTAAGATTAATTTTACCCACTGCAGCCACTCACTGTTCAGAGTTTGCACCCTCCCCAAAACTTTACTAGTGCTGATGAACATTCTTTCAAAATAATATGTAACATTTCTCCTTTTTATAAGACTTCCAACCTTCTCTTTGTTCTTTGAACATATGGAAGATCACCCTGTCTCTGTTTATGACCTAGAATTGCGATTCTTGCTTCCCCCCAAAAATGTTAAATTTGTCTCTATATTTTATTTGACTTTAACAGTAGATAAAGGCTAGTTTGTACAGTTTGGTATGTAGATTTCTCTGGTGCCATGCCCAGGCTGATAAGGATCTAGACTTGTCTCTGGGGATTAGCCTTTGTCCTTCCTGATAGAGGAAGAGGAGCAAGACTATCTTCTTTTTTATTTTTTTAAAGCCAAAGTCTCACTCTATTGCTCAGGCTGGAGTGCAGTGGCGTGATCACAGCTCACTGCAGCCTCAAACTCCTGTGCTCAAGCGATCCTCCCACCTCAGCCTCCCAAGTAGCTGGGTTCTACAGAATCTCGTTCTGTTGCTCAGGCTGGAGTGCAGTGGCA